ACTTATGGGGCTGGACTGATTTATTTCTCCATAGTAAATAAGATCACTGATTTATAAATACCCATTTCCTTTCGAACCAAGTGATCTACTAGATACCTAATTTTTGAGCAGAGTTATAAAGTATCAGCAAACTTTACACCATCAAGTGCAAACTCTACATTTTGTAGATTTTAAACACTTATTTCAGGGGCAATGGATGCCTTCAACCATTATATCTGACTTTTCCAATTTCTTTCCTACCGCTTACCTTCTATAAGCTGTGCTTCCTGCTCTACGTATTCCAGGCCAAACCATGCTTTGTGACTGATGTGTGTATAAGAATCTCTTCTCATTCCTTCTGCTATGATATTTGCTTCAGAATGAGCCGATTCTCGGAATAGAAAACACATTCCTATTTTATAAGGCTGCTAGAAGGATCTGTGATGTAATAACTGGAAATATAACTCATTGATCTGGGGTTACTTTGCTCTACTTAAATCAATCTGTGATTTCTCTAGGGTCTAATTTTCCATGTTGAAAATTTCAAGCATTTCTTTTTTATTTTTCTTGATAATAATGAGGATATAAATACTTACCTCCTAAGATTACTTTTGAGAGTAAGTGCAATAGTATGAGAACTTCTAGTTTACTTCCTGGTACAGAATGAGTGATTAAATAGGAAGCATCTTGACAAAACTCTACGCTATGGGAGGAGGGTAAATATAGACATTTCCCCAGTGCTCTTACCCCTCAGTATGTGATGCCTTTAACCAACACTGCCAGTTTACTGTTTAGGAAACTGAAGTTGGCAGGTTTATAAAATGACTTTCCTGAGACCATATACAATAAGACAGAAGGCTAGCGCAGGGCTGGAACTAGCTGGGGTAACTTGCTAAATACCCAATCCCAGGACCCCTGGGCAGGACAGCTCCCAAGCCCTTGCACCTGGACATCTTGCAGAACTCCAGCAGATTTTCCACAGAATGATGTAGACCGGATGCTAAAGTGGGAAATGCTGTATTTAAAGGCAGCTGCAATCAAGCACACACTGCTGTGCCCATTTACTTTTGCTCATTCCCACCCTGTAGAGTATACTTACCTTTTTTTTTTTTTTTCCTACTTATACTTGGCCCAAACTTACTCTGCAGAGCCTGTTTCTCTGTACCTTTAATAAATGTAAAAACTTATTACCATTTGCGCTTGTCTTGACCAAATCTTTGCTCAGGACAGAAAGAACCTAGAAACCACCGCTAGACGGACTCTAGCACCCCAAACCCTGATTAACAGCGCAGTACCTTTTGGCGCTTCTGTTGAGATCACCACGTCAAGTAGAAGGAGTACATTACAGAAGTGTTTCTCCTACTTTTTCCATGCTAAGATCTAGTGCTTCTAATTAGGCTGAGTATTTTTAAAGTTGTATATGGATCTGCAAAGAAAAGGATTCGTTAGCAAACTTGGCCGATACCATGTGGAATCATGTCATTGGAAACTGCTCCAAGTTCTAGACTGACTGCTTTGCAGTAGTGTTTTACAGAGCTTGTTTCTAAGTTGGGTCATGGTGAAGATATATGGAAATTCTAAATTCTAGATTCTGTTCAACTGACAAAAATAAATTTTGAAAGAAGATTACAATATTACCCACCTATTTTCCCTTTTAATATGATCTAGTATCCCAGTTCTTCTGACCTTTTAAAATCAGTTATCAGGGTTATTTTTTCAAGATAATGTCCTTATAAATGTAACCAGTGGAGATTGCTTGCTTAATGGAAAAGTCAGAAGAGTTTTGAAATTTCAGAAATTAAGCAATTAAAGACAGCTTCTGCCCTAAGAAATATAACCTGAAATTGCCCTTTGTTTTCTCAAAGGAACAGCATTGTGCTATGACATTATATATGCTGAAATGGAAAACTAGCAGTCACTTTGTCCTTTTTGTCATGAACTATAAATGGAACTGAAGTAGAAAGGCTTTTTATGCTTGCCTGTAAATATTTTTAGGGTCAACTTTCAAAACCACAACACAGAGTGTTACAGCAAATAATCTTATGTGCTACTCAAAAGTAGAACATGCCCTCTCAAATTGGCCTTTGTAATGAACATATCCTATTGAACAATTTCTACCTCATGTTTACTTTCATGAATTTAAACAATGCACTTCCTGACAACTGCATAGTAGTCTCCATTCAGCTTGCTGTGACTGGAAAATTGACATATCTAATTTTGGGAAGGCCACACGTGACCACTAGGATCACTTGCAAACTTGCAAGAAAAGTACTCCATCCCCATGTGCAGATTTAAATGGACATAGCAAACTGAATGAGACGCAAGAACTGTGTCTATTCAGAAATGTATGAGCCATCCCTTTTTCTTGATTTTGCATAACATGTACAATTCTGTGTATGTTTGCTGAGTTCTTCAGCATATGGGAAGCTGCAGAGAAGGAAGTAAAAATTCCCTACTGTCTTCTGGTCATCTCCCAGGATCAAATTATCCAACAAATGGACTATCTACACATGCATTCATGTCACTTGTCAAGTGGGAAGAGAAAAAAAAATTACATATTTATATAAATATACTTATAACATAAATATGCATAAAGTTATTAAATAGACCTAAAATATGTAGCTAATGTACTACATTTTTGGTAGTGTTTTTAAGAGATGCCAAAGTGGTCATTTTCAGAAAAACTAACATTGTTTTCACAAAAGTCAGTGGTTCCCTTCCCCAAATAGTAATAAAACTTATTCCGTGAAGTAAACTTTGTGTGTCATCTCCTAATAAAAGCTGAGAAAAAGAAAAGCAAAACCATTTTTGGACTTTGTAGAGGAGGAAAATCATTTTCTCTACCATTTTGTGTTCTGTAGTTAGGGCCAATTAAGCTGATAAATAATAGATTAGCTAGAGTCAAGAAAAGAGTTGTTGGGCCGGCAAAATAGCTCAGCAGACTAAAGTGCCTACTTAGGGAAGCACAGGGACCATGGTTAATCCTGGCACTACATACCAAGCCAGCTCCGCCCCAAGGGCAAGCATAGTGCTGCATGCCTGTAATCCCAGCGCTGGGGAGGCTGAAAATGAGGATCACTTGAGTCCAAGATGCATAGTGAGACCCTGTAACAATCAAATACATTTAAAAAATAATTTTAAAAATTTTAACCTGTGCAATGTACAAACATGCATAAATGCTATTTAGTGATATGTAATTCAAAAGAGTGGTTAGAATTTAGGGCTTTTACCTTGATAGGGGAAAGGAGGGACAGAAAAATTTTCCAGGGGGAGGGCGTTGTTTGTTTGTTTGTTTTCTTTTTTTAAGGAAGGACCAATGGGTTTTTAGGAGAACAAACAGAAGATAGTGAAGCTTGCAGTAATGGTTGTTTACGCAAGTGTGAGTGGTTTTTCTGTCTTCACACCAATAACTCCCCCAGCCCATCCTGGAGAGAAGTAATGAGTTGATTTTTTGTTTGTTTGTTTGTTTCTTTCAGAAACGGGGATTGAACTCAGGCCCCTTGTACTTGCCAGGGAAGTGCTTATTCCACTGAGCCATCTCCCCGGCCCCAAAGTAATGAGTTTTAGGACCCACTACCTCAACACATGGCACCCTGGCTTGTATAAAGTGAGAAGCAGATGCTCCTTTGTGGTCTGGAGGTTAGGATTCAGCACTCTCCTCACTGGCTCAGGGTTCCAGCCAGGGGAGCCATCGCACCACAGTCTCGCCTTCCTTCTCTTCTGTCCATTGCCTGGGTATGACTGTGAGTTTGAGGTCATGGCAGGCTGCACAGTGGATTCAAGGCCAGCCTGAACTATGTAGGGAGACCCTGTCTCAAAATAAAACAAGAAACAAAACAAAGGGTCACATTCACCCCCCTACCTGTTTTCCTAGGAGTTGGCCATAAAATCTAGAATGGATTTCATTCCTTACACCTGGCGAAGAACAGTCTTCTCCAGAGACACACAAGTGACACCAATAAGTATATGACAAAGTATATCCTCACTTATATAGCTCAGGGGAATGCAAATCACAATCACAGTGAGATACCATCTCACACTTGTTCAGACTTTATTTTTAAAAAGTGGTTGACGAGGATGAGGAGAAAAGGGAATACTTGTACACTATATATATAT